ATCTCAGATCGAAATCAATCTCAATATGGAAATTTTTGAACGCAGATCGAAATCAATCTCAATCTCAATCTCAATCTCAATCTAATAATTTTTGAAGGCGCCCATTGTTTGTTTCAATCTTACTACCTGACCTAGATTGAAATTTCATATTAAAATTCAATCTCAATCTCAATGTGAAAATTTTTGAATGCAGATCGAAATAATTCTTAATCTCAATCTAATAATTTTTGAAGGCAGCCCATTAATTGGTTGATCGCCTTCTACATATATTTTCCATTAAGATATCTTTCAAACAATCTGGATCCCGATGTTTATCTAATTTGACACTCACATCTTTACTGTTTTTAAAAATTGAATAAACATAAAGGGTGATTTTTAATTTTTTCTTGGTTTATGATGACTTCAGATTTTTACACCATATCAATATTATGCCAAGATCTACCGAAAAACTTGACATAAATGGAATATAAAGAGAAGCATGGATTCTATGTTCGTGATTGGAAGGTGACAAATAATCAATTGTCGCAGCAAGTTAGTAAAAATCACATGATTTATAATTAAACTGATTCAAAAAAAAAATTTTCATGGAATCGAAAAAATCCCTTTTGATAGGTCTTTGTGTTATAGGTGTTGTTGGTGTAGGATATGCCTTTTATTGGGACTATAAAAGACAAAATGATCCTGAATTTAGAAAAAAGATCAGTAAGTGATTAAAAAAAATTTTTAATTAAATCAAAATGATTTAACAATAATAATTATACAAATAATTCAAACAACTCTTTTATTAATTAAAGAAAGAAGTAAAAAACGTGCGTTGAAAGCCAAGAAAGCAGCAGAAGTAGATGCTAAATTAAAGACTGCTGATTTTGTTAGAAAAGCTGTCGATGAAGTTTCAAACGAAAGTTTTCCTTCTGATGTTAATGCAAAAGAAAAATATTTTATGGAACAAGTTGCTAAAGGAGAATCTTTGCTTGCAGCTGGTAAGTACACGCTTATACTTATACGTAAATGTTGTGTTTGATTTTTCTATAAATGTAAGTATGTATATCTTTTAGGTGAAAATGGATATGATGAAGCCGCTCTTTGTTTCTACAAAGCACTAAAAGTTTATCCTAGTCCTGTTGAATTAATTATGATCTATCAGAAAACCATACCTGAAACAATATTTAACATGGTATATGAAATGATGAGTCTCGAGGTGATTTTTTTAAAAAAATTTGGTACTGATTTGAAATTTGTTAAACTTTAATTAATATAATTATTATTGGAACTATATATAATTTTTATTATTTTGATTAGGTCAAAAAAAAACAATCTGAATATTTCGAAAAATTTCCACCAAAAGAAATGAATGTCAAGGTTAAGGATGTTAATAAATCTTCAGATCTTGAGGATCAAACACGTCGAGGGCTTTTTGCTACAAAAGATTTTCAACCTGGTGAAACTATTTTCATTGAATTACCTTTAGCTTCAGCACTTGATCCAAATCTTGAGGTATAATTATTAAAAAATCTGTTATTATTCGGATATATGAATATTTTAACCAATAAATATATATATATTCATTTTTCTTATTAAAAAACTAGTCCGGTGATTTTTGTAGTTATTGTTTTAAGACGATTTCTGTTGGACTAGAATTTACTGATGGTAATGATCTTTTTGAAGCAATTTATTGTTCTAAACTATGTATGGAAAAAGCAATGTCAGAATATGCCACACTCTTATTTACAAGTACCGGTTCAACCGGGAGTGATAGTAAAGAAGCTAAATTAGCAGAATTGGTTAAGTTAGGAAATGTAAAATATCCATTAATGATTGCTAGATTTTTGGCTAGAATGGTATATGAAGAAACTCAAAAAGTCGCATCGGGAATTGAAGAAGAATATACAACTTGGGATCATATTGAAAGATTAAGGTATTTAGATGTGCCTGCTACTTCAAAGGAAGAAAAAGAAATTAATCTTTTAAAAGAATTATTTGCTGCTAAAGTGCCTGGAATGGAAGAATTTATTTCTGAAGAAAGATATATGGTTCTTAAAGGCAAATTTACGTATAATGCATATGGTGTACACACCAAAAAAATTATAAATGAGGTACTGTATATATTTATATATGTGTGTGTGTATTAATATATATATATATAAATTAATTTATTTTTACATTTAGAATAATTCCGAACCTGTCCGTTCGAGTGAATCGCCTGTTATTGGTGCATGTTTTTACCGTTTTTCATCCTACATTGCACATTCATGTGATCCAAATGTAGAGGCAAAATTCCCTAATGGTGATAACACTGTATCAATTGTTGCAAAAAAACATATTAAAGAAGGCGAGGAATTGAAAATCAGTTATATTAGGCAAGAAAATAGAGATGTTAGTAGTAGGATAAGTGAATTGGACGTAAAGTGGCGATTCACATGTACATGTAATAAGTGTGTAGAAGAATTAAAGAATTACTAATTAAAACATTAAATTAACATTAACATTTTGGTTTGTTTTTAATATATGATGGTTTATGAATCAATTTTTTTTTTAAAAAAAAAAACAAGAAATTTTAAAATTTTTTATTAAATCAAAAGTATGAAAAAACGAATGATAAATAAATTTAAACAAACTAATTTTTAAAATTAACAGCTAGCTAATGTAAAAAGAATAAATAATATAGAACCAAATTTGAATGAATTCAATCTTATGTGTCCGTTGAATGTGATCGCAACCAATCATGTTAATTAAAATTATATCTTGACAAGTCACAAATTTGCGACTTATGATATTATTAATAAATATGGCATACTAAAATGATTATAAATTAAAAAAGTTTCGAATTCAAATAGGGTTAATATTAATGTAACTACTTGTAGTGTGATATGATTGTAATTTCCACCTGCCAATTTTCACATGAAAATAATGTTGTGATATTTGAGTATGATAAATCCAGCTGGCATGTTCAAAAGATTTTTATAAAACAGCGCATGCGGACAGGGGTAGAGTTGTACAAAATAGGATCCGGGGAAATTTAACCGATGATAATAATCACGGTGAATTTGGCGAAATTTCCGTATGATTTTAGCGAATTTTCCATCGGAATTTGTCTCATATTAATATAGTAATAGTAATAGTAATAGCAATAGGGTTGGTTACCTATTCCGCCACAGCCAGAGGAAATTAAAATAAGATAAGCCTACCGGAAAAATGTCAGCAACAAAAATCCGTTGATAAAACCAAGGCAAATAAGTTATTATATTACATATAAAACTACTAACTTTGGAAATTATTAGATGTTGTCTTTTACCTTCTCATTGGATCGCGATTTTGCCTTCTTGAACTCATTAATATTGAGTATATTGGGTGACTGTGAAATAATTTGACCACGTTTGCAAATAACTTGACATTGAAGTAAATCATAAAAAACTTACTCTAAAAATCTAAGGACATATGTTAAATAGTGAGATTCGTAAAACTTGAATTTTTTCAACTATATGATAAAGGTCTCTCACCTATATTTGTGTAGAGTTTTGCCCACGCTGTGATTGGCAGATCAGGAAAATCATCCAAATTTGGTAAAATTTTAAACCTATTACTATTACTATATTAATATACAGTCAGACTCCTAATATAGTCACACACCTCGGGACCATAGTGACATGTTTTTACTATGATCAATTAGTAGCAGGGAATTTTTCAAAAAAACGTGACTATACTATGTTGTGACTATATAGGATGTGACTATATAGGGAAAAAACTTATCTATAGTGCATAATTTTGGCTGAATGACCCCTACCCTTGATAATGCGAATTATAGTTACATTTTTCGCGTCCCTATATTTGCGAATTCATCTCACCTTTTTTTAAAAAATTACTTTCGAATCATTGTAATAGTAATAGTGTTTACGGTATAATTTTCCCGGTCATAATAATAATAATAATAATAAATTAGCGCGTTGAATGATTTTTCATTTAAAATATAAAAAAAATTTTCATTTTTAATAATTAGTTTAGTTCAAAAAAATTTTATATAAATATTGGCACAATTATAAGAAATGTTCAACAACAATTTGATTAATGTTTTAAATGCTACAACAATGAATGGAGTGAGTACTGTTTAATTGTCATGATTATTATAATGCTATGCTTCAATAATTATAGTGGTTTAGTTGATTATTTCAGAGTTATTCATATTTTGTATAATTTTATATATTTAAAGCTTTACGAAGAAGGAAACAAAAGTTCAAATAATTCAGAACGAAATGAAGGTATTTAACTTTTTAAATAGAATTGATTTTTTATCAAATAAAAAATATTTATATATTTATGTTTTTTTTTAACTTGATCTTAAAAAAGCCTCAGATTCAGATTCTTCAAGTGGAGATTCTTCAAGTGGAAGTTCAGCTAGAAACTCTCCAGATACCCCATCAGCATTAGATTTAATTTATCTTGATTTTTTATTACAAAATAAAGAACAAAAAATTCAAAATCATGATCTAGATTATTCCCAAGTAGAAAAGATATTAAAAGAAAAATCAAATGAAGAAAAATTGAAAGAAATTTTTGAGTTAGATAAACTTGAAAAGTTTAAAGAAGGTATGTTTATTTATTAATAATATTTATTATTGAACAAAACAAAAATTTTTTCTGAAATCTTTTGTTCATTTATTAAAAATAGATTTTAGATGTAATTTTATAAAATCAACGATGTTACAAGGTTTTCTTTTCCTAACAGAATTTCACATTTGTTTTCATGCTTATCTGCCACGAGAGCCTGTAAGCCAATTTTAATTATTTATGTACCATTTTTTTTTGTCAAGGTAATCTATTCTAAAAAGTAAATGATTCTTTAATTTTAGGATGTAATGTTAAAAGATGGAAATCTTACTAAAATAGCACCACATGGGGCTCTTAACATTAGATATTATTGTTTATTACAAAATGACGTTTTTATGTATTACAATGATCCAACGGTATGATAACTCTTTATATTAATCTCCTCTGTTTGCATCTATAATTGAGAAAATATTGTCATAATTACTATTTTTTTTAATGTTTGATTAGGATTTGTATTGTCCGGTTGAAATCATAGATTTGAAATATGCAATCAAAGTTGAAAACCTTCATAAAAAAAATTCTTTCCGAATAGTGACACCTAAACGTAAATATAAATTTCAAGCCGATTCTCAAATTTCTATGGAGGAATGGATAACTCAATTAGGAAAATCAATATTACGTGCTAAAAATGAAGGCAATAGTGTAAAGGTAATTGTGCTATTATTTCATTCGTTAATTCTATTTTAATATTTTATTCTATTATTTCATCCTTTATTATTTTTTTTAACTTATCATTCCAAGATTGTTATACCAATCGAAAGTATTAAACATGTTCGACCCAATCTATCAAAAAATTTTCCTAACACTATACAAATTGTTACTTATGGCGATGACCAGTCTGGTTGTGATGAGGTACACTTTAAAATCTATTAAATATTTGAAAATTTTCTAGGTTTTAAAAACACACTTTTATACGTTTATTAAAGATAATTTACTAAATATTGCTCAAACTTGACTTTACATCCAAAAGTTCTTTTTCGCTTTCTTCTCAGATAGTGGCACATTAATTGAAGAATTAAATGATTTACGAAAACCAGAAACTTCGACTATTGATAATAATGATTCTCAATCTTCTGATTCTTCTATTAGCTTAGCATCAAGATATATGTCTAATATATTTAGATCCGTTAGTATTAATAAAAGAAGAAAAGGTTACGATGACGAATCTTCATTAACTATTACAAAACAAACAATAAAGTCACCAAGATCATCAACTTTTGAAAATCAAACTCAAGATTCTAAAGAAGGGAGTCTAAGCATTACAAAGCAATTCCAGCGTCGTGTAAAAATTATGACTACAAATCCTAAAGAATATATCAGTTATTTTGAAGAAAATACTTCGGAAAAAACGAACAGTCATTTTAGAGAGCATTTTGCTTTACCTGAATCAGAAAAACTTCACGCCAGTAAGGAATATACCTAGGATTTTTTTTTATAATAATAACTGAATATTTTCCCAATAATATAATATTTATCGTACATTTATACATCCATATAATATATTTTATTACAAATAATATTAGTTTTCTATGGATATTTTTCACGCATAATTCCAGTTTATGGCAAGTTTTATATATCAGATAATTATATATGTTTTCGATCAAGAGTCGTTGGCAAATCAACCAATGTACACATTATTTTATTTTTTATTTTTATTTTTTAAAAAATTAAAATAATAATATTTTTTTTCTTTATCTTTTTTTTAATCTAGTTATGGCTACCAATATCGGATATTTATGGAAAGCCTAGAAAACAACAAGCAAATGTATTAGGTTATCACGGATTAGAAATTTTGACCAAATCACAAAAAGAAATTTTAATTGAATTTGGTTTTGAAAAACTTAGAGATAGGTTTTTCGAGTTGATAGAAGAAAGAAGACTAGCAATTATCAAAGAAGGTAGAAGTAATTCATTGGGTGAAAGCGATGCTGAAACAACAAAATCAACAATTTCTGAATTAAAACCTGATCACCCTCTTCATTTTACTTTACTTACTATTGGATCTCGTGGTGATGTACAAGTATGTGTTTATTTATAATTGGTTTTCAGATTTGATTTGGTCACGAATTCATTATTATTCTAAAATTTTTTCTTATTGTTGAATTGCTTTAGCCATATATTGCACTTGCAAAAGAATTGATTTGTGAGGGTCATAAAGTTAGAATAGCTACACATGGAGAGTATAAAGATTGGATTGAAAGCCATGGTATTGAATTCGGATGTGTTGGTGGCGATCCTGCAGAATTAATGGTAATTTATTTATTATTATTATTATTATTATTATTATTATTATTATTATTATTATTATTATTATTATTATTATTATTATTATT